TACGGCAAGCATGGGTTGCTGAAGACCTATTTACAGACCACCGTCATAAAGCTGAGTGCGGCGTAATATAACCAACCAACCAACCTTGCTACGAGCCCATTGTAGCTATACCCATGGCCAGTACCTCATGTCTAACGAATTGGCCACATTGTTTTAAACACTTTGATAACAGAATTATTGAAGATAAATTACATTTGTTTAATATCATGCCCTTTTTCTAAATATATAAGACACGTAATTCTTAAAAAGTGTATAACTGACTAATGTATGACTTTTAAATATTGTATGACCTCAAGAAATCTTTACAAACGTACAAGATATCTTTAAGACTATCATTAATTTTTTTTCAATTTAAGAACCAAATCTCAAGTTTGTTTAGAAGACGGTTAAGTGGCTGGTAATATAACGATACAAGTGGCTGACCATGTTCATCTTTTCAGTATCAGATAACTGCATCAAGGGAACCATCTTCCCGAGGCAAGAGAGTTAACTGACTATAAAAATGCAGTTTCCACCCTTGCCGAACTTGGCTGGAATTACTGGGCTCGATCGTAGCGCCACCAGTGGCTATTACCAGTCATGTCCCTTCTAAGCCTCTCCTATGGACCAATCAGATTCCACCTCTCGTATCACTTGCGTTTGCTTCACACAAAATGGTGGCGCCCGGTCAGTTAGATCTGATCGACAATCAAGATATATATTCTGATAAAACGGGTCTTACATCGCGAAATGCATCAAATCACGTGAGCACCTTGATTAAAAACATGCAAAGATTGGGACAATGAGTTGGCGGTGAACATGCTTTGCAAATTCTGCAATCGACTGAAATCTGTACGACAGTTGATTTTTATTGGACTATGCATAGACTCGTAAGTCCAGCCAAAATGTAACTCCATAATACTAGCCTAGTTCGGCAAGGGTGGAAACTGGACTTTTATAGTCAGTTAACTCTCTTGCCTCGGGAAGATGCAAGGGAACTGTCCCCTGGAAAACAACTTCCCAAGAACACTGAACCTCCACAAATACTATACTCCTGACACTAGTGAGTGAGTTGGGTTTAACGCCGCTTTTAACAGTATTCCAGTTATATCACGGCGTGTCAGCTTAATGTGGGAGGAAAGCCCCAAGTGATGCAGGTCTCAGACGGTAACCACTTCGGTGAAACCCACGAGCTTGGGTATGGTGCTGACAAACCTAGAAACATAATCAAGGTGAACCGGGATTCGAACCCACAATCATAGGTTTCTGGCGTGCCCAAGGGACTCAACTCTGCACAGCGAATCGCGGCGCCTTAGACCACTGGGCCCCCGGCCCCCCGGTCCTGACAATAAACTCGGCAACAAATATTATTTTGACATTTATTATACTCCTAACATGGAGAATCAATAACACACCAGAGATCACGGGAAACGTCACCAGTAACCCTAGAATATTTTGCGCCGGAAACAAATATCATGGCATGAAAACGGTTAAACAGGTGGCTTTGGTGTGATCTGTAATCCTTGTGAATCACATCAGTTTCAAAAATCATCTATAAACAAACATGAAATACATTTGTAAATATGAGTATTCAATTGTCCCTTTTGTTATACTTTGCGCTGCAATCATTTAAGGCGGGGCGCGGGTGGCCCTGTCGTCTAAGGAGCAGCACATGTCCTGCAGCACTTGTCAGAGCTGTGTCCTGTAGGGCATGACAGAAACTTATTATCTTGTGTTCGAATCCTGGCTCGACATACTTATGGGTCTTGGTTTGTCAGCCACATGCCTGTCGTCATATGCTTCACCAAACTGGTAAACGTCGAAGACCTGCATCACCTCGCATTACCCTTACCAAGCTGACAAGCCGTGAAATAACCGAATTAAAGCGGCATTAAAATCAATTCACAGTCAGGTATTTAAAGCATTATCACACAGCGCGAAGACAGATGGATTATGAAACGGCTGAGTCTCGATACGATGAAGAAGGCGATTCCGGAACTGCTCGCAAACGGCTTCTTTCTGTGGCTTATCATAAGCATCAGTTTCAGCGACCCAAATGGTTACCTCATTAATAAACACATACGGAACATCTTCGTGGAGCCTTTCAATCGCACACGGACGAAGCATGTACCTTTTGTCAGTTAGACGTAACATCAAAGCCACAGACATTTCAGTCATTATTCTGAATGCTACATAAATTTAAGGAACCATTTCACTTGTTAGCAAATTTCAAATTCAGAATCTTTGTATGATTTTGTGTTGTCTGTTTCTGGTTTGGCCAAACGTTTCAAAGCAACATCAAGAACTAAACTATCACTATCTTGGTGTTGCTCTGGGTTCTTACTCTTTGCAGCATTAATCAGAGTTGTTTGATTCATTCAAGGACACGATTATATTCTTGTTCTTACTTTGTGCAGCCCCATTGGTTCCTGAAGGAGAGGCAACAAAACTTTCAAATGAATAGTGACCATAGCTGCGTCTATGTTTATTGGGTGCCGGAACCAGACTCACTACAGTTCCTATTGAAGACTTTGAAAACATCTTTAATTTTGTCCTACGCATTGCCGTACATAATAGTCTAATGTGTCTCTGGACATTTAATAATGCTGAATGCGTTTAAGATTATCAGAGGGATGGGATATCTTCTCCAACCTGTCGAACAATAATCGGGGATACTGCCCAAAACTCTCCTCAGACATCATTGAAAACCGGGTTTTGGTGCGCATATTACAACCTTACACACTGAAAAAAGACATCAGTTTGTATATCATTGAGGCAAAGGTACTCACCATACTATCGCAATGGTGTTGTAAGACTAAAACATATAAGTTCTTGTTTCTCCTCACAAGTTGTTTGAACCAAAATTGCTTTAACTTACACACAGGGATAGAAAAAAGGTTGAATGTTTAAGTGACAATATTAAACAATACATCAAGAACGTCATTACTGATCGCCATTGTGGGTAAAACTGAATGGAAAATACGTATAACAACGTGAAATCGGAACTGAAATTAAAACGGAAAGAAATAAAACATAGTTATTTTACGTAGATTATGGATGTTTTAAGGCAGTAAAAATTACAAATAATATATTATTGTCTTTATAAGTCACACCTATACCCACTGATTTCGCTTTGTTCTTCAGATATTTTGTCAGAGATCTGTTAACCGTTGATCCTGACATTGATCATGTCGTGCACCTTACTCAAATGTGCTGGGATATGTAACTGCCTATAAGAAAAAGTGTTTACTCGTTGACACAAATGCTAGAATATCAGTCATTAATTGGTAGATACAGAGCTGTTACCTCGTTAAAATCGGATATTTCTATGGGCATTGATAGATCAGCATAACACACTGCGTTGCGAGATGACGAACGTCAAATAACGCCGACGTGAGTTCTTTGCTAAGATAAATAATGTGTAAATGCGGATGTAATATATAGATCTAAATATTAATTTCATTTTCTCATGTTGAGCTATGATTGAACGTGCAGGTCAACACCAATGAAAACTGCGTTCAATGGCTCGAGGAAACTGTTATCCCTAACCTCTTCCCAACAAAGAATTTTAATGGAACGAAACTACAGTACAACGAAAAGCACATGCTTAGTGATCTGGCTAATTATCGAGGAGGGTCCGCCAATTGAGTGAATATTTATAGTCACATCGGCAATATTTCAGCCATATCGTGACTAAATCAAGTTAGACAGCAATAATACATACAATTTGATCATAAAACCTGTCGTCAAAGGACAGTAAAATAACTAGATTATCATTTAAAAACTATATTTTGATGTATAAGATGTATATTTTAAAACTAATATGGAACCATAATACATTATAAAAACGGGGCTAGGGATCGCCAGAAACTAAAGGTAGGCCACCATGCAAGGAACCGTTGGGACTGAAAATACTTCTGCTACCTGCACGGTTCCCCAGCAGGATTTACACCATCCATTAGCTGCTGGCGATTATCATCAAGTTTAGCCAAAAATAAAACAAACAAGTATACCACGACTAAAAAGGGTAACAGGAATATACTTACTTCGAATGATGTGGTCTTACATACCCTCTCAGGAGGACAATTATTTTACAGTACTTCAACCACTTTGAGGATACAGCCACTTACAATCTCAGTTACAAGTTACACTACTGATACAGTAAAATGTTAAGTATGTACACAGATTCCTAATTTATCTAACAGTTTAATTTCTTTTAAAAAGCTAATTATTAAGAAGATCCATTAATGATGTTGCACTGAAATATTTATCTCTTGTGGTGGAGAAAGAAATAGAGATAAGCAGGACAGGTCCGCCAAGTGAGGCTGGCAGACAGTAAGTAATTGACGAAGAAATAAGGGATTGTGAGAGTGGTTGAGTGAGTGCTTGCTGCTGCTTTCAACACAATTTCAGTTATGTCAGGTGATGCAAGGTAGAGTGGGGGAAACAAAGGACACAGGCCATATACATTAACCAGTAAGTGCGTGAGTTGTGTCTTACACCAGTCAGCAGTCTTTCAGTAATATCACGGCGGTGAAAACCGGAAATGGGCTTCACTCTAATTACTAGTGTAGGGAATCGAACCCTGGCCTTCGGCGAGAGAAGCGAACGCTTTCATCACTAGGCTACCCCACCACTAGAGTTTGTTTGTTTGTCGTTTAACACCGCACTATTCAATAGCAATATTCCACCTGGAATGGGCTGTACTCATTGTAGCTATGTCGAGAATCGAACCCGGGTCTTTGGTCTGATGAGCGAACGCTTTAACCACTAGGCTACCCTAGGGCCCCTCCTCACCACTAAGATGTTAGTGTTAACATTTACGTTAATACACCGATGCCCTGAAGTCAAAGACCCATCATGACTTAGACCATTATGTTCATGTGATAAGCAATTGCATCAAAAGTGTCTTCTTAGCAAATCTGAACTACAGATACACTGTTTGGAATATTTCTATATTAAATATGACTTAATTCAGGTCTCAAATTTAACCTTTGACCAATGATAATTTTGTATTCCAGAAACGTGTTCCATACCCTAGATCGGCGAAACAACATGTTTCCTTGAATATTTCCTACCAACAGAGGAGAGCAGGAACTGGTGTCCCAAATGGAAATTGAACTCATGTCCTGACGATAACAATGAACCATGGACATTCACATCAGCCTAGGACACATGGGGTCTCCCCATGGTAGGGCAGAGAGAAGTGTTTGGGGTTGGGGGCTACATAGCTGTCATGAAAGTTGGCCGTGAAAAAGCTGAACAAGACATGAAAAAGCTGTTGACAGATCGATGGATTGATAGAGTGAGTGAGTGAGTTAATATTTAAAGTCACATCGGCAGTATTTCAGCCATATCGTGACTTGAACAAGTTATGCATTTATATTATATATTAAAGCTGTCATCGAAGGACAGTACATCGAAGGACAGTACAACAACCAGCCATATATCACAGATTATAGTTTTAAAACTAGTTTTAGAACAATAGAATAATCAGATACAATACAGACGATACAATATAAAAACGGGCTGTAGATCGCCAGCAGCTGAAGGTAGACCACCATGCTAGGGTCCATGGGGACTTACAGTACTTTTGCTACCTGCATTGGATTGATAGGAAAACACGAGGTATTTTCCTTGAATTCACTGTCTATAATGCCAACAAAATGTTGTATAGCTTTGTGAGTATACGTGTCGAGTTTCCGGAAACTGGTGGTGTGCATGGAGTCTCGAACATATTTCCGTTTGGAAGCTACAATCATAAGGGAACATATGGACAATGCATTCTGTTCTGTGAAATCACTTTCACTATCTTCACGGCCGTCTGGCTAGTATACATCTCCTTCGCCATGATGAAAGAACGATGAAGCTTCTTTAAATCTTTCTGGAACATTGTCCAGTTGGGCGGTGGTGTATGTTCTGCGCTGCGGCAGTCGGTCTGTACTCCCTTCGTCTGTCTCGTATTAATGAAGCCTTGGCATTACTCAAGAAGGAAACAGGTCTTTATCAACTTCTACCATATTATAGTCTGGGACAACCTCTTTGTATGTATCCTTGGCTTCCTGGTGGACACAGCAACAATTCGACTGCTGAAAGTATTGGGCACCTCACGATTCACCAACGTCGTGTATCGTGTTCTTAAGGGGAGTTCAAAGACATTTCCAGGCTTCTTCTTCTCTATTGTTCTCGTCCTATCTGCTTATGGCGTTTTGGGACAAGTCGTGTTTGGAAAGATCTCTGCAGGCTACAGGATATAATCACTTCCATGGAGACCTTATTTTCAGCAGTGCTTGGACATGCAGGCTTTCGGAACACCAACGTACCTGTCAGCGACTCTTTGGTAACCCTCATCTACTTCGTCTCTTTCATAATCATTGTTATCTTTGCGGTGTCCAACATATTCATGTTATATTCTGATGGATACCATGTCCAGTGTCTCGCCCCTAAGAGGCAATATTTTACGGATGCTTCTTTTTCTATCTAAGTCAATTAGAGTTATCTTTTCTTACCTTTTTTTTCATACTTCCGGAAAAAGCACGTGTTTGAAATCAGTGGTTTCTAAGCCTACTAAAAGGTCTTATCACCATAACTCAAGTGCAGACATGTACAGGTTTTTTACCCTTTTTATATTTCGGGATTATGACAATTAAAGAAATAAATACAAACATCTTTTCGAAGTCGTTATATCCAGTGTTAGAGAAGATCCAAAGAACCTGAGCTACACAGCAATGGAACTGTTCACATATGTGTTGGAGTCGGCTGGAGACCTCATTACACGAAGAAACATAGTACAGGACGTGGCGCTCAAATAGGTGAAGGTCAGGTGAAATTCGGTTTAACGTCGCGTCCAAGATTATTGCACTTATATAGCGACGTGCATGCACGTGTGTGTGTGTGTGTGTGGCTGCTTGTACTAGTCCGGACTGATGCCGATTTATAGTGCTAGCTCACTGAGATACCATGCCGCAGTTTAACATGAATGCCCCACTCAGACACAGTATACTGACTCCGAGCCGACCAGTCCTTGTTTTAGCCCCTTAATGCCGAGCGCCAGACAGGGTAACAACAAGTACCATCTTTTAACGTCTTAAGGTATGACGCGGCCGGGGATCGAAACCCGAACCTTCCGCTCTCCGGGCGGACGCTCTACCACTAGACCACGGAGGCGGTCCGCGCCGCTGTGCCGAATGATCGTCCAAAGGTAAAGGACTACATAGGTATGTGCTTGGAGGCATCAGTACTTTCCATATTTACTCCTTGAAGACGCGCACAGAAGGTTATGTTTTGAGATCATACCAGGCTATTAGTCCAATACATTGTAGAAATATAGCTCTTGTTTGACAACATTTTAGAACTATATTGACTAAATAACTTACTAGTGTCATTTTGCAATTTGTGTTACTAACATACCTCTACCAATGTTTACTGAAAACTAAATAACATGTCATGTTTTCGACCTCGAAAAAACATATTTCGGGATGGGTCGTTTGAGTCGTTATCACTCCTTTGTGTAAACAATTGAACTTAAAGATGTGATTTTAATTCTAACAATGTAACCACCGTACTTTCTCGCTAACGATGGGCTGTTTTGCCAAATTAGGCATAATTTTATTCTTCTAAAAACAAGGAACCATGTGTGACCTTTCCGTGACTTCTGTGAGAAGAGCTCATTCTGGACTCTTTGTCCGTCATTTATTTATATACGTTTACTTTACAAGTCAGCCACCCAACATCTACTTGCCACTCAAAGATCCTGTTATCTAGCTAACACGATGTTACAGATGATCAACGTCTTTTTTGTTGACTCGACCCGTGAAGATTCCGGGGTAGAATAGGTCTTCAGCAACCCATGCTTGCCATCAAATGTGACTATGCTTGTCGTAAAAGACGACAAACGGTATCGGGTGGTCAGGCTCGCTGACTTGGTTGATGCATGTCATCGATCCCAATTGCGTGTTGGTTAAGAAGTTGCAGTACCAGGGTTGGATCTTGGTCTTCTTTTTAGATGACGAAGGTATCTCCAGGTAACGTAGGTAGAGGAGATACAGGCGCGGGTGAGGGTGATCATAAATTCTGTGGATAGGGTGGTTTCAAGAGGAGTTTCAGTGATGCGATGGCGGAGAATTGACAGAGTGTCATCTATGGGTAGGTTGGTCAAGAGGTCTACTAGTCGTAACTGACGATTTGATCTGGATCTGTTCTTGGGCTTGGAGTAGAAGTCCGTGGAGTCAGAGATGAAGGAGTCGGCTGTTTTTTGTAAGGTGCAAAGATTCTGGTGAGGTGTTGGGTCGTTTTGTAAAAGACAGTATCTAGCGAACACGGGCGAACGAAGTAGACGGGCTTTAGGAGGATTCTTGTGGATTGTGATGGTGGCTCTGGCATAGGGTTGTTGGGGGTGATTACCCCAAGCCCATATCAAATGCAGCATCGCAAAAAATAGTAACTTCCCAACACCTGTGTGACATTTATGCAAAGTTATTGCAAATAAATAATGCATATGGAGCTGTGTGTCCAAATTCAGTTTAACGCCGTTAAATCTACAGGTAACCCAGCTCTACATTGAAAACACAGTATGTTTAGCTCCTAATTTTAACCCGGATCTTCATGGGTCAACTTGCTTCCAAACAGGCTAAGAATCCGAGGGATTTCAAATGACAGCTCAAATATTTCACCAGAACTAAATTCAGCATGCGGAATCTCACGGAGAATGCAGTTCAGTTTGTATATCCCGTAAACCCGCTGGTGACACATGCTCATAGATCAGTCATTCTATGTACAAGGCACGACGGACTCACCTATAATGTTGACAAGCAATACTATTCTGAACAACAAAAGTTCCTGTGACATATTGAAGATTAAATGCAAAGTTATGTTTTTTACCAAATATGAAACAATTTCGGTTTGCAACTGATATAAGACTTCTGTAAGTGTTCAAATGGTTTAATTTGCCATACTGACTTAAGAAAATGAGTGATTTCATAAATAAAATGAACATGCCAAACTGTCAATTTACAAATCAATAGCGTGTGTGTCCACCTCTGGTTGCGATGCAAGCAACACATCTTTGTCTCATGGAATGGACCTGGCGTCGCACAAAGTCCTGTGGGATATCTGTTCATATCTGCTGGAGCATGTTTCGAAGTTCCTGGAGTGTCTGTGGAACACGTGGTTAACGTCGAAGGCGCCGATCCATCTCATCCCACATGTGCTCATTTGGTGAGAGATCAGGGGAGCGAGCCGGCCAGGGGATGACATTCACAGGAAGAGAATCCTGAACACGTCGAGCAATATGAGGCCGGGCGTTGTCATGTTGAAAGGTAATGCCTGGGCCATGACGACGCAAAAACGGTAGAACAACAGGGCCGATGATCTCGTCGTGGTAGCGCTGTCCATTTAGATTTCCCTCTGCCACTATCAAACGGGTCATCTGTCTTGCTGTAAGCCCACCCCATACCATAACGCTGCCGATCTTCTTCCATAACACAATGATTGACGTAACGTTCACCTCGTCGGTACACTCGAAGCCGGCAATCGCTGTGGTTGAGGTGAAAACGAGACTCGTCAGTGAATAGAACTTGTCCCCACTGCATGGCCGTCCAGCGTAGACGCTGTTTGCACCACTGAAGACGTGCTTGACGGTGGTTTACTGTAAAAATTGGAGGTCTGACGGGTCTTCTGGCGACAATCCCTGCACATCTGAGGCGGCGACGTACGGTTTGTGAAGATATTCGTCGAAGGCCAGGGATGCTTCTTGCAGTTACTGTTGTTGGCTGGAATCGATTTCGTAGGTGTGTTGTTCGAATCCAGTTGTCTTGTCGATTATTGGTTACGCGTGGCCTGCCACTCCGAGAATGGTCTCTGACTGCATTCGTCTGTTGCCAACGTTGACATAAACACCAAATGGTGTTTCTGTGGACGTTAGATTGTCTTGCAACATCACGTTGACTCGATCCTGCTTCAAGCATACCAATGGCTCGCAGATGCTCATTTTGGCGTGGCATTTCGTAATGTTGAATAATTGCGTAATTTTGTTGTGTTTCTGAGTGGTTGTTGTCAGCACGATGCTAAACAATGCATATGAAATCCCATTAATGCACATGTTTTATACCCATTCTTGGGTAGTGAAATGCATGGGGCTTGCATAAAAGTCAACTTCTGCATGGAATGCATGCTTTTCTGTAGCAGTTGCGTTTTTGTGACTTGATTCCATACATGTTGAATATTGTACAATATTGAAAACCAAACTTTACTTGTTTGAAAAATACATTAAAATATTGGTGTCACAGGAACTTTTGTTGTTGAGTATATTATTACCCGTTTCCACGCATTAAGCAACTACTAAGCCGATCTGGTGATATTTACACGGGACGCTTGCAGACTCGAGGACAGCCGCGGCAGTTGTAAGGTGGGAATATGTGACCCTTTCATTTAACAAGTGATGTATATTGGTTTCCACTTTTATCTGAGCCACTCACGAAACCGTTTCAGTAGAAGATACAAATTTCAGCCGTGGTGCTCCCTCGTTGATTGTTGCCAGTACTTTCCTTACGCTTCGTTACGAATGCGTGACAGGTCTTTTTCATCAGAAAGCGAAATCACAAATGTGGATCATCCATATTTATTTCACGTATACACTTGTTATGGTGTGTGAGTGATGTACAATTATAGCCTTATAGTCCTCGCAATTTGAAATAGAATCACGAAATATTGTAAAGATTGTTTAACTAATACTAATACTTATAAAGTGAAAACAAGCCATTCCGGCAAGTGGGAATATTACATCCATATTTTTGTTTGTGTGTTTCTAATTTCGCTGGAGGGCGAACAAATATACATAAAATATCAAATTAAAAACTGTTTATCACAAATTTTGTAACATATTTAAAAGTTTAATACATTGTAAAGTGAAATATGTCACCATTTGGTGTCCTACTCTGAGGGTATGGGTTCAAATCCCGCATCAGACTCTACCGAAAAAGTACTAGAATTTGTACTTTACTGTGAAGTAATTGTAATCCCAAATACAACACTAGATACATTGTGAAATAGTCTTCGCACATTACAATGTCCTTGTATGTATATACGTCAATCTAAATTACCTTCAGGACTGGGGAAGACTTTTTGTTAAGGGGCCATTTGAACATATTTTGATATTATTTTGTGAATTCAAATGGCTTGTTATATATGTGAATATAAAGTTGTACGATTCCGGCTATATCATGAGAGTGTACCAGTGTTTGTTTGTTTGTTTGTTAGTTGTTTAACGCCGCACTAAGCAATATTCCAGCTATATGACGGCGGTCTGTAAATAATCGAGTCTGGACCAGACAATCCAGTGATTGACGTTATGAGCATCGATCCACGCAATTGAGATACGATGACATGCATCAACCAAGTCAGCGAGCCTGACCACCCGATCCCGTTAGTCGCCTTTTACGACAAGCATAGTCGCCTTTTACGGCAAGCATGGGTTGCTGAAGACCTATACTACCCCGGATCTTCACGGTGTACCAGTGAATCACTCTTAAATATGATTATGTTTCTAGGTTTGTCAGCACCATACCCGTGTTCGTGGGTTTCACCGAAATGATAAACGTCTAAGACCTGCATCACTTGGGGCTTTCCTCCCACATTAAGCTGACACGCCGCCATATAACTGGAATACCGTTAAAAGCGGCGTTAAACCAAACTCACTCACTCACTCATCCATCTTATCATACAGTCTTTTATCAGTCTGAATATGTATGGATATATCTAAACATTGACACAAAAGCGACAGTCCTCTCTCTAGTCTCCTTTTTTCGAGTTAAGGGTTCAAGTCAGTTCCACGTAATCATGATCAGTGGAAAGGAATTGACTGTTTGACCGTTATGGAAATATATCAGATCATCGATATATCTGAAGCTAAGGTTAAACATCTTGGCCATATTGTAAATTGTTTTGACTTTGACTTAAGAAATAATAGCAAGGGGCTATGTCACGACATATTTGAGCAAATGACTAACGACCACTCTCTTTCCATGTCCTGTATTAATATCAACACTATGTTGTGTGCTTCGCAAACTCAACGCATCGCCTGCAGCACATTGTGTTGTCAGTTAACGATTCCTAGGTCAGTGTGCACAGCTCTCATGTAGACCGGTCGTGCTGCCCTATTTCGCTTTGCAACTTCGCATTAGTCTTGCTTGTTTACACAACAATGGCTTGTTTACACACAAACATCAGCAAACATCACAGGCCCCTGAAGCAGGATAGTGATATTATTGACACACCGGACCTAAATATATAGACAAGGTACGTCACTCGCCCGAATTAGAAATCGGCTGTATCGTTTAAATCTGAATGGAGATGTATGCATGTCATGTTCACAATACCTCCCCACCTCCCTCAACGTTCGCCATGCATGTCGCAAACCTCCACTGTTTGCTATTTAATACCTATTTCGGGTGATTTTATCAAAATATGAGCTCAGTCGCTAAAATATGAGGTCAGTCGCGGCTATGGATGACTATCATTTTTCATGGGCCTGTTGCACACATGTGTCTGTCGTCGTTAATTCATCACTGATCGCGATATTTCGTTGTTATATTTCAAGTGGAGAGGATTACACGGGTATGCGTATAACAAACCTCACCGGTGACGCGTATACTATAGATATTCCCAATGCTGACCTCAGCCTGAACTCAACTTGAAGTGTGTCAATAGCACGTTTGGTTGCCATTTATCATTAGAAAGGATGTTCGTGCATAGGACTCACACCCGAACACGTGCTAGCAGGAGGACTATAACCAGGTAGGCTCCAGCTCGCATATCACGGGGATGCATTGAATACCGCCACGTCCCGATACAGGGGATTATAAACCTACCGGCTGTTTGTGTAACTCGATATGGAGTTTTTGAAATTGTGGTAACACCTTGTAGGAGGTATTACAACGATTGTAACACCTCGCAGGAGGGCTTACAATCATTGTAAACCCTTGATAGAACAAAAACTACGAACAGCCTACGAGACGAGACGCACCGTTGCGAAACCCACGTGCTGAGGTCACCGGTTCCATTGAACCGAGTTCACGACTGCAGGCGATATTTCATCTCCGATGCAGGTTATACATTTGAGAGTTATTATTACAGTTATTTAATTAAAAACGTTGTCTATGCGATGAGTCGGTTTATAAGTAAACAAACCATTTCTCCTCGGGAATACCAGCGATTGAAAACCCTGACATTCGGTGACATACCTCGGTGGCCTACGGCCTACGCCCCCCTCGGTATGTCACCTATGTCAGGGTTTACAATCGCTGGTAATCCCGAGGAGAAATGGTTTCTCCTATACATATCACTCAAACGTGTGTTTGTGGCGGCCCAAGAGGTATTCCTAAAAGAAGCGATGGGTTAGCTTGATTAAGAGTATTTGGTTACTATTGTGAGAGGGTCAGTTCGGTTAGTTTTAAAGTAAGGCGTGATGTTCATCTTTCTCCCATGGGATTGGCTTGGGCAACGGACACAACAAGTTTCGTAGGATTCACGACAGCACAATCGTTTCAAGGTAATATTTTCAATGCATGTTTTATATTTCCAAGTTCAAGTTCGTTCATTTATTCTCAAAAAACACGTTTGGTGGTACAAGAGCATATACAGTATACAAAGACAAGTGAAAATGCACAATGATGAAATACAGAATAAATAAATACAAGATATACAAGATGGCGTGGAGTTAAAATTCTACTGTTCTTGTAAGAGATAATACCTTCGAGAGGTATTTTGACAGATTAATAATTTATTTAACGCCTTTGGTTGTAAATAATTTAACAAAGTTTGGTATACTTGGATATTTTGTTATGATGGTAAGTACATTTTTCTTGCTTTACAGAGAGTTTTACAGTAAAATATGTAATGAAATTCATCAGCACTCGTAGTACCCTCGTGGCGACCTCGTGGTGCTCGTATGAGGATCGTCTGCAAAATGTATTGCCGAGTTGACCGAGTCTAATACGAGGTATACGAGCCTCCATGTTACAGTCCGTTTGACTCCAAATGAGAACGATGAATTGCAAAATAGCTCGAAATCCAGAAAAGTGTATGAAACATCAATACGGTACTTGACCATGAATACCCTGTACCCAACAAAATCTGAATTTTGTTTTTTTAAGACCCATGACGGATGAAATTCTTTAAGAAACTATGATGTAATTTTGTATAGAAATGCGTACATGACACGTAGGGGGACAAACCGTGGAAGGCACAGCGCAAACACGCATGCACTGCACGTTCTGTGGTAGGGGAAATGACAGAGCGTTAGAGGGGCCGTCTCATGATAATTTCAGTCGCAATCTGACTCGCTCATGCCATAGATCTCGTCGTCGGAACTGCTGGTGCCTGAACCGACTGCCACTATTATAGTTTGGACTGTTGCTGGCCGTAGTTCATCTCGTGACCAATAACGTCAACTTTATACACGGGGTCAGGTTTCATAGTGTTGATGATTTCATAGAGCTGTGGTTTCGTCGCTCGAGAAGGAAAGTCTTGGTCTTGATACGGTGCATTGTCCATGACAATGAAAGACTTGGTAGGCAAAGCAGGGACTAAGTTATCTTTCACCCATTCCAGAAATACATTGCCGTTCATTTCTGTGTGGTAGTCCCTGTTGTCTTTGGCCTTGGCTCTAAAGACGAGGTCACAGTCTGGGAGAAACCCCTCACAAGCAGAACCAGCATGGAGAACTACGAGTCTTTAACCCTTTCCCATTGGTAACTTTCTACCAGACTCCTTACAGTCACCCCTGGGTACCCACTGACTGCTGGCTGTGTGTGACGCATTTACCATGTCTCATCTAAGAAGACGGGCTCAAATCCTTCTTCACGTTTCTGCTTGATGGCACGAAGGTAATGATTTCGGAGACGAACAATGTCAGACCGTTCACACAACACAGCCCTATTTTCTCCAGTTATCTTTTTGTATTTGCAACCAAATGTATGCAACAGCTGCCATAGTTTGTACTTTGTAACACGTAAATGATGGTCAGTTTCAAGGTGTTTCTTCAAAACTCTTAGGGACAGGTACTTATTTTCTGAGTGTGGTTTAACAATTGCACGTCTGACTTGATCCCTCTGAAAACTGTCTAATTTATCACCCTTGCGTGGTTTTGACATGGTCCCTACCTCCTTGGCCTGACTATTTGTATCTCGTCGACTAACAACATTTTTAAGTTTCTGAGGGGACATACCAAGAGCTTTTGAAGCTCGTTTCAAGAATATTTTAAATGCATAAAAAGACTTGGCTCTTTCTGCTTCACTTCTGAAGAAATCATACACATTCAACATCAACTGTTTAACATCTGCTGAGTAGCGCATCTTGTCATTGAATGAACACGGTCCCTGTGTAGCACGTACCAAAGTCGTACAGCTCGTATCGAGACCGTTGTGCTCGTGTGCAACTCTTAACAGTCTCCTCGTTAGACTCCTATTGGGGGTCGTAACGCACTCGTAGCGTACTCGTATGATACTCGTATACATGCAGTCTCTTCCCGAGTCCTAACCGAGTTATGCTCGGGAGAGCTCGGCAACCACCTCGGCAAAGTGTGAGGTGAGGTGAAATTGGGTTTAACGTCGCGTCCAAGATTATTGCATTTATATAGCGACGTGCATGCACGTGTATGTGTGTGTGTGGCTGCTTGTACTAGTCCGGACTGATGCCGATTTATAGTGCTAGCTCACTGAGATACCATGCCGCAGTTTAACATGAATACCCCACTCAGACACAGTATACTGACTCCGAGCCGACCAGTCCTTGTTTTAGCCCCTTAATGCCGAGCGCCAGACAGGGTAACAACAAGTACAATCTTTTAACGTCTTTTTGTATGACGCGACCCGGGATCGAACCCTGGACCTTCCGCTCTCCGGGCGGACGCTCTACCACAAGACCACGGAGGCGGTCCCGGCAAAGTGTGAGAGCTGCTTAAGTGCATTAATCTAGAATATTCAAGTGAGTTGGGTTTAACGCCGCTGTTAACAATATCATACATTTATGACTGATGGTCTATTTTGTGTAATTCCTCCGTCATCCGTGACCAGTTTCGTTTTGATTTTAATGCATCGACTCACATTAGCCATATCGGAAAATAATAGCGCCAAACCCTTTCTAAAAATCATATGAATTATATGTTATAAGCGCGTGCTTATGAATCGTTATTAGGTAGTGATAACACCAGGTACTCGCGAAAAGGTGAGCGTGTCCTGTTTACAGATGGCACCCGTCACAAACACAAGCAAAGAGAAGTCAATTGTTCAATCGTTTAAATAGTCCCCGGTGATATTCATTACTCATCCGGGGTGGCGTGGAAGCCCGAAGCCCGAAGACCCGGGTTCGATTCCCGACATGGATACAATGTGTGAAGTCCATTTCTAGTGATACCGTGATACCTGGAATATTGCATGAAGCGGTGTAAAAACATATTCAGTCACTCATTAATCATCCATATACAATCGTATGGTTCGGTAACCAAGAGCCAATACACTTATCTCTCTATTAAACGTATGCCAATTGTTCTGAGGTAAAGGTTATTAACGGGCGGTTGGAAAGTTGGTTGGTTGGTTTGTTGTTTAACGCCGCACTCAGCAATATTCCAGCTATATGACGGTGGTCTGTAAATAATCGAGTCTGGACCAGACAATCCAGTGATTAATATCATGAACATCGATCCACGCAATTGGGCTCGATGATCGATCCCGTTAGTCGCATTTTACGACAAGCATGGTCGCCTTTTACGGCAAGTTTGGGTTGCTGAAGACCTATTCTACCCCGGAATCTTCACGGGTCCGGTTGGAAAGTACGACAACACGGGGATGTACGAGTATGTTACCGCTTTATTCAGTGGTACAACTCTCACTGCCGAACCCGTCCCGGGCGACGCAAATATCCTTGGCCGCTGACCTCATCCGTCACCAGCCGGTCATCCAGGGACTCCAGCTACCTACATACATACAAGTGGGATACGATGACGTGCATCAACCAAGTCACCGGTTGGTTGGTTGATTTGTTGTTTAACGCCGCACTCAGCAATATTCCAGCTATATGACGGCTGTCTGTAAATAATGGAGTCTGGACCAGACAATCCAGTGATTGACAACATAAGCATCGATCCACGCAAATGGGATTGATGACATGCAACAACTAAGTCAGCGAGCCTGACCACCCGATCCCGTTAGTCGCCTTTTACGACAAACATAGTCGCCTTTTACGGCAAGCATGGGTTGCTGAAGACCTATTCTACCCCGGAATCTTCACGGGTCACATTGTGTGTAATGCGACATGTACATGTAACTTCTGTAAGCAATGGCTTTCCAACTGTTTCTGTGATAAAGTGATGCAGCAAATTTGTGAACTATTAACTTACACTATCTACATTCACAAGATTCACTAAGTAGATATACAATTTCATAAAAAGGTTTCCACGTGTGGAGGCCACACTGTAATCTAGTTTTTTCCTCCAGCCATGTGACTTCATGTTAATAAATATGTAAAACGAGTGCGTGTTTAATCAGACAAGTGATGCATGGCCAAGCACAATAAGAATAAACGTGGCACGAGTGTATCAGGTACATTGATGTCAACCCTTATATTTGCCCTGTGTGCATTCCTAGGATGAAGACCCGTGAAGATTCCGGGGTAGAATAGGTCTTCAGCAACCCATGCTTGCCGTAAAAGGCGACTATGCTTGTCGTAAAAGGCGACTAACGGGATCGGGTGGTCAGGCTCGCTGACTTGGTTGATGCAGGTCATCGTATCCTAATTGCGTGGATCGATGATCATGATATCAATCACTGGATTGTCTGGTCCAGACTCGATTATTTACAGACCGTCGTCATATAGCTGGAATATTGCTTAGTGCGGCGTAAAACAACAAACCAACCAAACCAATCCTAGGATGTATTTGTGTAATGTTCCGCCATATTGTATAGCTTTTCGAATATGACGCATATGAGACACGGCTGTAAATTTCACTCTCATGCATGTTAATTCACATTTTCTATGATCTTGCAATGGCCTGGTTTATATCAGCATGTTAGACATGTACTATAACGATACCGCATTAATCACAGCCACTATACAATTATGTGTGTATATTAAGGAGAGGAGCCTGTTGAATGCATTGCCTGTGATACTTCACTCACTGAAATGGGTTCCAAACACGAGTCTTCAAAAGAAAGTTAAACATTTTGAGTTTTGTGATAAATGGAAGCAAGGGGTAAATATTGACAATTTGATTGAACAAAGAGATATTATTCCACTGTCTACTATAAATATTGTTGTTTCAGAAAATGTGAAGAATTATAATATCTTAGACTAATTTTCAAAACTTCATGTACATTATTTTCAACACTGCAGTCACTGCGTGAGAAAGGCAATGAATTTCATGTTGACCAAAGCTAGATTATATAACCTTTCAATAACCTGCCATATGTGTAAACTATTGCTTGATAAATGCAATAATAATTATTGATCTGAGGAATTAAATTATTCTTTTCAAAATAGGATAAAAAGGTTTTTTGATAAATAAACCTACATGTATAGCAATGTATTTTAAATGTAAGGTTAAAACACGTACTGAAGACCAGTTCATGCAACGATAACTCTCTGATATGGAGGCATCCTAGAAAACTAGATTATATAAACTTATGTAATGTGAAATAAAAACCCAATTCTACATGAGATAATTTACCCCCAAAACACCAAAATGACACTATTATATTTTAGACGGGCTACCAATTGGAAAAGTTCACTGGACAAACATACCAGCAGTTGAAAGGGCACGCCCGTTTTGTACATGCAACGTGACTGCTGATGAACATTATTATTACTATTATTATTATTATACCTAGTATCGATCACAATATATCTATTCATCTTAAACAATAAATCATTCAATGTTTAATCTGGTGAAATTATTTAAATGGAAAATATAAACTTACGATGAAGAAGTTATCAATTTTCTATGAATTTTGTATATGTTTGTACGTGATTATTATACATAATGCCGCCATGTACGTGTATATACTAGTGTTGATCACTGTTAACCCTCAACATGCTATGTATTGCAGCCTTGAGCAAAATATGGTTCAGTTCAATATGATAGGTCTTCAGCAACACATGCTTGTCGTAAGAGGCGACTAACGGGATCGGGTGGTCAGACTCGCTGACTTGGTTGATGCATGTCACCGTATCCCAATTGCGTAGATCGATGCTCATGACGTCAATCACTGGGTTGGCTGGTCCAGACTCGATTATTTACAGACCGCCGTCAAATAGCTGGAATATTGCTAAGTGCGGCGTTAAACTACAAACAAACAAACATAAACATAAGTTCCAATAATAATGTTTAAACAAACATGAGTGAGTGAGTGAGTTAAAATTTAACGATGCATCGGCACTATTACCGCAATATAGCGACGAGACCAAGCTAATATATACACAATTTAGTTATTTATGCAATGTCATATTTAAAAGCAATTGATGACAATTGATGGACAGAGCCTTTAATAATGTCAGTTGCTAATAGCATCACACCAAATTTAAAAACAAGCATTTAATTATTCACATACATATTTAGAATTTATTATACAGACCAATTTCTTTCAAGTAATTTATGATGAGATGCCCGCTGACACGGGAAAAGAGATCTTTTAGATTTACACTTTGATAATGTGAATCCCTTGCGATTGCAAAGCCCACACAGTCAAGCAATATATGCTTGACGGTGAACTTTTCATCACAAGGGATACACTTAGGAGGTTCGTCCTCATCTGTCTTAAGCAGATATCCGTGTGTAAACCGACTGTGGCCAATACAACATCGTCGTAAAACGACCTCGTCATGTCTTGACTGACAACCTAAGTAGGTATGACCGATTGTTGGTTTCAATTCGTGTAGCTTATTGCTTCCTACTTGGGTGTCCCACCTCTTTTGCATGAAATACATTTGCAAATATGTGCATTCAATTGTCACTGTGTGTATACTTTGCATGTTGTTTAAAGATGATTATTGAAACTGTATACTTTGCGCTGCTATCAGGTAAGAGACCCGTGAATTGGGACCGATGACATGCATCAACCAAGTCAGCGAGCCTGACCGTCGTTGATTATGTACACACCGCCGTCATATAGCTGGAATATTGCCGAGTGCGGCTTTAAACAACAAACAAACATACAAATAACAAATGACACACCGCGAAACGACCGGATTCGAACCCGCAGTCATTGCACCTGTATATGGTATGTTTTGTGACGGATATCAGTAACTTCCTCGTAGGAGAGAAACATAACGATTGCCTGTGTCTAAGGCATGTGATGGAGGTTCTAACCATGAGGAAACAGCGTGTGGGAGAAACATGCCCTTCGTCAATTCCAGTGTGATGAATCCGTTTGGTATTTAGGGAAACAGAAGAAATTGGTATTTTTAGAAACGCGATTCCGTCTGAAAATTTCGGTTTCAAATGAAAAAAATAAATTCGGCGGTTGTTACGACCTTGCAACCGTTCTACATGAGTTCGAGTCTCGTGTTCGTCCTTATCGTGATCAATAGTATGTCTGAACCATATTATTCTTTGTGCGTTTTACGAAATTCCTTACGTCTTCCATCTGCGTCACTTTTACCTACCAAGATGTGTGCTCACCGACACAAGACAAATCATCGACCTGCTGTGTCATCCGCCTTACGCCCTAGATGTGTTCGGTTGTAGACAGGAGAAACAATACTTACTAATAGTAAAATCGTTGACATGTGAAGTTCAGTACGTACTGGCTACGATTAATTTCGCTTCATTACCAGCTGTCCATTCGCGACTATGCTTGTCGTAAAAGGCGACTAACGGGATCGGGTGGTCAGGCTCGCTGACTTGGTTGATGCATGTCATCGTATCCCAATTGCGTGGATCGATGCTCATGATAATAATCACTGGATTGTCTGGTCCAGACTCGATTATTTACAGACCGCCGTCATATAGCTGGAATATTGCTGAGTGCGGCGTTAAACAACAAACCAACCAACCAACCAAAAAATCAATACGATTCAGTCGGGAGTGAGTAAGCACAATGCATATAATGTTTTTGAATTGCTTGACAGGCATTTCTGAGAAGTTGACTGATGATAAGTAATTATGTATCCTTATGCCGTTGTCAATCAAGGCTGTCAACGGAAAAGGCTCTAAACCGAAACGTCGTCTTTACAGTAAATAAATAAGTTGTTTACCATACATTGCGTCTACTTTGTCATATCACTTGTTGATAATATCCTTTATTTTTTCAAAATTTACCAAAGACAATATTTTTGTAAAAGTATTTCGTAAGGCGTCATCAAATAAATCCCACACAAAGAGATAACAGGTTCACCGAATAAGTACCACGTGCTTTTATGATTTGTAGGCTGAAATTAACCGTGTATTTTCAAGTCTCACACTGATTGATCAGTTTTAATGAAGTTTCCGCCGTCCTTATTTCGTAATGACGATATACAGAAAATAACGACGCTTTCATATTTGCAGTTTAAGCTGTTTAAGGAACTCATCATGGAAAATGACTACACTAAGCACAAGGATATTGACAAGGGCTGGGCCTGGGTGGTGCTTGTGGCAACGTCGCTGGGTCAGGTCATCACTGGTACCGTGGCATTTTCCACGGGGTATTTCCAGACAGAGTTCCTGAAGCAATTCCCCGGCAGTAATGGCTTCATCAGCCTCGTGTCCTCCATCTTCATGTCGCTACAGCTGACAATGGGTACGACTAGTTTTCTTGTCTTGGTGAAACACCAGAACAAGCATAAGGTTCATCTTTCTGCGTGTCAGAATAATTTGAATGTTTTTCACCAAACCGACATATTCTATTTATTTTCTCTATATTATTAGACGATATCAGATCATTGATATCCCTGAAGCGGGGCGGTCGGGTAGCCTAGCGGTTAAAGCGTTCGCTCGTCACGCCGAAGACCCGGGTTCGATTCCAGACATGGGTACAATGTGTGAAGCCCATTTCTGGTATCCCCCGTCATGATATTGCTGGAATATTGCTAAAAGCGGCGTGAAGCTTGAAGCTTAAGTTGTATGGTAATATGTGTTGGTGATGTGTGCGTTGGTGATGATATGATGTGTGTTGGTGATGTGTGTGATGATATGATATGTGTGTTAGTGATGTGTGTGTGTGTTGGTGATGTGTGTGTTGATATGTGTATTGGTGATGTCTGATGATGTGTGTGTAGGTGATGTGTATGAGGGTGATGTGTGTTGGTGATGATATGTGTGTTGGTGATGTGTGTGATGATATGTGTATTGGTGATGTCTGATGATGTGTGTGTTGGTGATGGTTTGTTTGGTTTGTTTGATGTTTTACGCCGCACTCATCAATATTCCAGCTATATGACGGTGGTCTGTAAATAATCGAGTCTGGACCAGACAATCCAGTGGGATACGATGACATGCTTCAACCATGTCAGCGAGCCTGACCACCTGGTCCCGTTAGTCGCCTCTTACGACAAGCATAGTCGCCTTTTAAGGCAAGCATGGGTTGCTGAAGACCTATTCTAACCCGGATCTTCACGGGTATCTATGCAGGTTGTACATTATCAAAACGGACTATAGATAAAAGCAAACATACCAGGGACAACGAGGACGTCCGGTACCTCTTCTATGCAGGGCTGTATATTCTTAGAATAGTACTTTTTTGTAGTCATTGTTGGTAGGCATATTCAAATAATTATATCTACAATTACAGGTTACAAAATGCAAAGTTGACGTTACTACATAATTCAAAGAATGTGTGGCAATACAGTTCGTCGCAGTATGATAATACACAATCAATCAAGTCACAGAGCACGACAACCCGATCCGATTAAGTCGTTCTTTCTCAAGCAATAGAGGCCGGGGTCCAAATGTAACGTGTGTCCGTACCTTGTTGGTTTTAACCGTGAAGATACGGGACAGAATAGATATTAAGCAACCCATGCTTGCCGTAAAAGGCGACTATGCTTGTAGTAAGAGGCGATTAACGGGATCGGGTGGTCAGGCTCGCTGACTTGGTTGGTGCACGTCATCGTATCCCACGTGCTGGATCGTTTCTCATGATATCAATCACTGGATTATCTGGTCCAGACTCGAATCTTTACACACCGCCTTCATATAGCTGGAATATTGCTGAGTGTGGCGTTAAAGAACAGCTTAATGGCGGTGAGGAAGCCTTGTGGTCAAAGCGCTGGCTCATCACGGAGTTCCTTCTTCGAATCCCCACATGCTAACAATAAGTGAAGCACATTCTGAAGATCTCTGACGTGGTATTGCTGGAATAGTGCGAACACAAATGGCGTATAACTACATGCAACACCTGCATTAGATGTTGTATCAGGTTGTGTTACAAACATTGGGGCAGGATACGCTCGACTTTCTGCGAACACCTGGTATCATCACGATTTGATTGTGACTCAGAAACTGATATAGTCGGAATCGTACCGTGCACACTTTTCGCAGAGATTTCTTATGATTATGGTGTTTTTTGTCGCCTTTATTTCCACGTGTTTCAGGATCTGTTGAAAGTGTCACGTATAGTTGTTTGTGGGGAATATTGTGTTTCCTTTTTACACTTTGCGTTTCATCTCACCCCAGGACCTGCGTCTGGGCTGCTGTGTAATGTGTTCGGCGTCAGAGCGGCCATGATGGCGGGTGGCGTCATCTTGTCCCTCGGCCTCTTCATCGGCAGCTTCGCAACAAACCTGCTACATCTCATGGTTGTATACAGCCTCATAGCAGGTGCGCTACTATAACTACCAGCGTTGAACGAAACGAAATATTCGACCACATATTCTGGCTAAAATATGAAAAAAGTGCTGAATCATTTGTTAAAATTGTAAAAATTTGTAACATGTTCCTGTTCCTCTTTTCTTTGAAATGGATTCGTATGCATGAAAACAAACATAACAAGGGCAACGTTGGCCTAGATTGGTACAGGGCTTGTACATCATGTCTGATTTATAGGTTGCAAAGTAAACCCAAGCCCTAACTTGCCTTATTAGATAGAGCGTCGACCCGTGAAGATCCCGGGGTAGAATAGGTCTTCAGCAACCCACGCTTGCCGTAAAAGGTGACTATGCTTGTCGTAAAAGGCGACTAATGGGATCGGGTGGTCAGGTCCAATTGCGTGGATCGATGCTCATGATGTCAATCACTGGATTGTCTGGTCCAGACTCGATTATTTAAAGACCGCCGTCATATAGCTGGAATATCGCTGAGTGCGGCGTTAAACGACAACCAAACCAAACCAAAAATAAAGCGTCAAGTAATATTTCTCGAAATAGTCACCGACAACCTTACACCGTTGACAAAACATTTTAGTCGCTTTCAGTCATTCCCCAATCTTTACTGAGAAATGTGTATTCACAGGAGCAGGCTTCGGAATCACCTACACCCCTCTCAACGTTATTTTGGGCTACTATTTTCACAAGAAACGAGTAATGGCTAATGGTATAGCTATCGCATCATGTGGCATTGGTTTCGGAGTTGGGGCCTACCTGGTTGCCTGGGTGCTGGAGTCATGGGGCTGGAGGGCTGCTATGGCATCAGTAGCGTGTTTGACATGTCAGATGTGCATCATAGGATGCGTGTACTTCCCTCTGGACCTAAAGACAACGCGTCTTCCTTGTTGCAGAAAAGAGCAGAAGGAAGACAACGAAATTAGGAACAGAAGGTTTGGACAGTCCAATCTGTGGTTTCTCTGTCATCCCTTGTGGTGGATCCTGTGTGTAAACTATGGCCTACAGATGGTAGGATTAGGAATTCAGCTGGTACACTTTCCATCATATGCAGAATCATGCGGTGTACCACTGCGTGACATGCCTCCTTTGGGTACAGCCTTCGGTGTTGTTTTGTCCTTTTCGCGGTTACTTGGAGGTTGTGTTTGTAATGATGACGGCGTGGACCTGTTAATGTTCATGTTTGCAACACAAAGTCTGTATGGAATATTCATTCTGTTTATGCCTTTTTATGCGAGTTCGTTCACAGGGCTCATGGTGTACACAGTTCTGATGTCGCTATTCTATGGGGCGTCGTTTGTCCCCCTGACACCTTTGGCTGTGAGACTGTTCGGCGTGGACAAACTAGCCACAGTGTTCGGGTGGATCATGCTGTGGGGAGGACTAGGGTACCTCATAGGCCCTGTTATTGCAGGTACATTTCTTTTTAATATATCCATCCTACTCATCACTGCAGGTGCAAACGGTGACAGCAATAGAGCCAATCAGCATGAAGCAACCTTTGTAATCATCAGTGAAAATTACTGTAAACTCCACCTAAGCGACCCTGAAGGCAGAGTTTATTGTACGATTCCGACTATATCATTAAGCCAACGAAGAGACCTTATATATTTTCTGGTCATTTGTGACTTATTCGGACAACTTATGCCATTGTTATGTCATGACGCATCCGGCTGGGGAACCGTGTACGCGGCAGATGTGTGAGTGAGTTTGGTTTAACGCTGCTTTTAACAGTATTCCAGTTATATCGCGGCGTGTCAGCTTAATGTGAGAGGAAAGCCCGAAATGATGCAGGTCTCAGACGTTTACCACCTCGGTGAAACCCACGAGCACGGGTATGGTGCTGACAAACCTAGAAACATAATCGGGGCGAACCGGGATTTTAACCCACAATCATAGGTTTCTGGCGTGCTCAAGGGACGCAACTCTGCACAACGAATCGCGGCGCCTCCGACGACTTGGCCAAACGTTCCCCCATGTGGCCGATGTACCTCGAGTTCCCTGGTATGGTGGGCCAACTTTCGTTGTTGGTGATCTAGAAGCCCGTGTTGTATACTGTGTGGTCATGAATAGTCATATTGTGGGTTACAGACAAGTTTTGAAAAGAAATCTGTGATACTTCAGTTGTTTTACTGTATACTGTCGACAGGTTTGTATACAGTATAATTATATAAATATGTTTATTTTTAATGTTCAATGTTTTAGTCACTATATGACTGAACAATTGTGATTATAAATTTTAACTCACTATTTGATGTGGCTCAATCTCCACTACCATTTGGATCGAATATATTTTATTTTATTTTATGTACGTTTGTAAAGGTACATATTTTACAGACTAAATGCATGTATTTATGTTAACTTTCAACATTGTATAATTTTGTTTCCGTTTTTTTTCTTCATTTTTTTTTACATATGTGCTGTAGTGATCAGCATGCGTGCGCACGTTTTCGTCTGGTTACAGCTGCCCCAGTCAATGTTCCCTTGAGAATCAAGGAAAATGTATTCTGAATATTAATACTTCCTTCAGAAATATGACAGGCTGGATAATTTGGTCCAACACATCAATGTTTTCTTAACTTAACCTAGCTATCAAATTGGCACCAGGTGGTTTTACAAATAGCGTGTGGAACAGTTTTGAAGTTACAGTTCAATTTCAAGTTCTTGTAAAAGTTCACCAGTATGAGCAAAGACGTTGCCGCATTCTGGATGTTGCTCGTCAATCTACTGACAGCATTAACAAAACTGCATGTTTAAGTACTTACAAGCTCCACTTTAACTTGCAAGTTTCTTTCAGGGCGTATCTTTGACGTATCATCTTCATATACAATGGGATTCCACATAGGAGGTCAGTAATCACCGCCTGCATGAAACAAATATTCTTTCAACGGTACATGTTTGTCAGAAAATGTCTGTCATTTAAAGTAGATGTTTCATTGGATCCTGGCACGACAAAGGGATGCAACTGTAGCGTGTTATATATCTGACCACCATGGACGTGATATGGGACATTGTTACATTGGCGTAAGCGATTACAGCTTTATTCCTGTACCATATACCGTGCCTAATCACATTATCTATATGAATATTGACATTGACCAGGTGACGTGTCTTCAATGAAATGACAAATTCAAAGAACTAACGCGACTCTCCCTTCTCATTTCAGGAATCCTTGTGATAAGCAGTGCTTTCCTGTTATTGCTGATTCCGATTCTAGATAAGAAGCTAAAGGTCACGGATTCAGAGAAGCGGGACAATCAACAGAACCCGATAAATGAAGACAAGTTGATTACGATAGAAACTTCCATGGAGGGGAAAAGTGAACATATTTCTTCGTAATCAGAATAGAAATGCAACCACCTTTTTACTTCGATGTGTGTGTGTGTTTTATCCGTAAAGATCCGGGGTAGAATAGGTCTTAAGCAACCCATACTTGCTGTAAAAGGCGACTAACGCGATCGGCTGCACGTGGTCAGGCTCGCTGACTTGGTTGATACATGTCATCGATCCCAATTGCGTAAAAGGTGACTATGCTTGTCGTAAAAGGCGACTAACGGGATCGGGTGGTCAGGCTCGCTGACTTGGTTGATGCATGTCATCGGTCCCAATTGCGTGGATCGATGCTCATGGTGTCAATCACTTGTCTGGTCCAGACTCCATTATTTACAGACCGCCGTCATATAGCTGGAATATTGCTGAGTGCGGCGTTAAACAACAAACCAAACCAAACCAAAGCGTAGATCGATGTTTATGATGACAATCACTGGATTGTCTGGTCCAGACTCGATTATTATGCAATCCGCCGTCATATATCTGGAATGTTGCTGATTGCGGCGTTTAATTGTTACAACAAAGAAACAAACAAAAGGATACAAAATTGAGTGGGCGAGTCCGGATTTAACAGATGGCAATAGTGAAGCCACACCGAGACGAAAATATCTTATAAGACTTAAAACATGTATTCCCAGCAAACACAAAATCGTTATGAAAACATCCCTAAAACTTTTAATGAAATGTTCTGGAAATGTTTTTAATATGTTTTATTCACGTGATTTTGTATGGTTCCAGAAACGTTTTTGAAGACATTTTCCGTAAACATATGGTTATAACGTTTCAAAAATGTTCCAGCAAAATGTTCAGCTATATTTGAAAACGTTTAATAAGCTGATTTTGTATGGTTTCAAAAACGTCTTAGAAACATTTTTCTCTGAACATTTCATTATAACGTTTCAATAATGTTTTTGTAAAATATTCAAGAAATGCCTTTGAAAACGTTTTATTCGCGTGAAGTGTATGGTTCCGGAAACGTTTTAGCAACCTTGTCAGAACACAATGGGTTACAACATTTACAAAATGTTTTGAAAACGAACCAGTTTTGCTGCCAATATTCTTCTTTCTTTGGTTTTGCCTTGATCCACTTTTCTGAAAGAATAAAAAAACAAACTTAATAACTCTAAAGCAGGTATTTACAACATGCACGGTATATACATTCAACTGAAGAGGCAATATTAAATTGAAGACAAGCGTACAGTCGACGAAGTCATCTATATCCCCCGTCCATTTTAACACGTTATGGTACTAAACCAGGTAACTGACCCAACATTTCTCTTAGCCCATGTCAAAATTGCTGCAACTGAAGTTTCTAAAACTCCTCAATATCAAATTCTGTTAAGTATGTGCTTTATATATGGACATGCAATGTTTGGCAAGGAAATATTTCTGGAAATAAAGCCCAGTAATACAAATTTCTTAAATTCATAAATAGCAAAAGGCAACAATTCAGCATGTGTCTGATAGATGTGAAAATGTCATCCGGAATCGAACTCTACCCATATTGTTTTCAAAGTCCAACTTGTTGCCATGGAAACGTAAAAAATAAAAAGTTCTAAAAGTTCTAAATGTCAAAAGGCACCAGTTCAGTATGTCTCTGGTAAACATGCAAAGTTTGGTGAGAAAGTACTTAACAGTTTTTGAGTTACGCTCCGGAAAGGAACTCCACCCTATAGAACCGACCGCCGTCATGTAGCTGGAATATTGCTGAGTGCGGCGTTAAACAACAAGACAACCAACCAACCTATAGAACCAAAGTACAACTTGTTGGCACGGAAACGTAAACATAAAAAAATTCTAAAATTACTAAATAGCAAAAGGCACCAGTTCAGCGTAAGTCTTATAGACAAGCAAAGTTTCATAGAGAAATATTTAACGGTTTCTGAGTTATGCTCCAGAAACGATTTCGGGACGGACGGACGGAACCCATGTCTATATCCCCGTCAAGTTGGTTGTGTGGGGGGTGGTTGGTTGGTTGGTTGGTTGTTTAAGGCTGCACTCAGCAATAATCCAGCTATATGGCGACGGTCTGTAAAATAAATCAAGTCTTGACCAGACAATCCAGTGATTAATATCACGAGTATCGATCCACGCATTTGGGATCGATGACATGCATCAACCAATTCAGCAAGCCTGACCACCTGATCCCGTGAGTCGCCTCTTACGACAAGCATAGTCGCCTCTTACGGCAAGCATGGGTTGCTGAAGACCTTTTCTACCCCGGATCTTCACGGGTGTAAAAAATGAATGATTGAATTTAGTTTTACGCCGCGTTTAGCAATATTCCGACAATATCACGGCGGGGGACACCAGAAGTGGGCTTCACACATTGGACCCATGTGGGGATTTTGAGTGACGAGCGAACGCTTTATCCACTGGGCTACCCCACCGTCCCTCAAAAACATGAAGCAAGGGTGTAAATAATAAGTTGTCACACAAAGTGCTGGAACGACCTTGGACTTCCTCCATATCTTGATTGTTAACCTCGCCCTCAGCAATATTCCAGCTATATGTGAGTCAGTCAAATAATCGAGTCTCGACCAGGCAATCCAGTGATTGATATCACGCGCATCAATCCACGCATTCTTTTACACGGGTCACCGTTGCAGTTTTGTTTGTTGTATAAAGCCTCACTCAGCAATAGTCCAGCTATCTAAATAATCGAATCTGGATCAAACAATCCAGAGAATGACATAAGCTTCGATCCATGCAATTGGGATCGATGACATGCATCAACCAAGTCTCGGGCTTCCTCCTGTTTGCAAATGATGGTAAAAAATGTCAGTGTGCATATTAAAGTATTTGGTTTGGCAGACTCTTTCTCAAATTTGTTTCATGTACTCTGACAAATACAACTTCAAAAGTGTGTCATAACATAATGGAATAAAAGAAGGAGTAAATGCCATGTTTACATATACCGCCACATTTGTTAAGAAGTAAATTGACGAGATTATAACGTGTATATACAATGCAAATAACATATCATCAAAGTATACTTGAAGTAGCTTGAAGTTCAGTTCGAAGAAATAAGAGTAGTTTTTTAAACATAATTTGGACACACGCACGCCTGGTTTTTAATTCTGCATAAACTGGGGATCGAGGGATATTTGTTCAAGATCACCCCCATCCCCCAAAAAATTAGTTCCTTATGTCAATTTGATTGGTTGGTTTGTTGTTTAACGCCGCACTCAGCAATATTCCAGCTATATGACAGCAGTCTGTAAAAACTCGAGTTGGGACAGACAATCAGGTGATTGATATCATGAGCATCTATCCACGCGATTGGGATCGGTGATGCATCAACCAAGTCAGCGAGCCTGACCACCCGATCCCGTTAGTCGCCTTTTACGACAAGCATAGTCACTCACCTTTTACGGCAGGCATGGGTTGCTGAAGACCTATTTTAGCCCGGAATCTTCACGGATCTTATGTCAATTAAAAAGATCGAGTTATCATGCTGGTTAACAGTTTTTAAGCGTGCAATCAATCTTGCGTGTGCAATCATTGTTGGTGGGTTGGTTTGTTGTTTAACGCCTCACTAAGCAATATTCCAGCTATCTAAATAATCGAGTCTGGACCAGACAATCCAGTGACTAATATCATGAGCATCAATCCACGCAATTGGGATTGATGACGTGCATCAAACCAAGTCAGCGAGCCTGACCACCCGATCCCGTTAGTCGCCTTTTACGGCAAGCATGGTTTGCTGAAGACCTATTCTACCCCGGGATCTTCACGGGTCCTCTTGGCAAATGATAGTAAAAAATGTCAGTGTGCATATTAAAAGTATTTGGTTGGGCAGACGCTTTCTCAAACTTTTTTCATGTACTCTTGACAAATACAAGTAATGAACTTAAAAAGTGTGTCAAAACAATAACTGATAATATAATGGAATGAAACTCATGACGGTGGTCTGCTATAGAACGGCGGTCTGTAAATAATCGAGTCTGGACCCGACAATCCAGTGATTGATCCCATGAGCATCGATCCACGCAATTGGAATCGACGACATGCATCAACCAAGTAAGTGACCAGTTGAAGCCGTTGGTCGCCTCTTACGACAAGCAGAGTCGCCTTTTACGGCAAGCATGGGTTGCTGAAGACCTATTCTACCCCGGATCTTTTAGCTAAAGACTCGCATGGTTGTCTCCTGGCCGAATCTTGGACAAATCCCCAGGAGATATTCCATGGTGCGTAGCATTATCAAGGCCAATTTTTTTTTTAGTTTCCGTAACATCCCGAGAAGCAAGTTATTTGCAGCCTGAAGTTCTTTAGCCTGCAATGTGTTGATGTTCCGATCCCGTAGAGGAGCGCAACAATGACGGTGAATGGCCGCTCTTATACTGACATAGGATGACTTTGTATAATATTGTCCATCCTCAGTGTGAACCTCCGCATAATAGTGCTTAAAAGGTTTGCACAGTTCCTCAGCTGGAAGCCCCTCAACTTCTACGGCTTTACCATGCTGTGTCAGCCATCCTGAATACAATATGGAAATAATACTCGTATAATACATATCAAGTAAGCAATTTTGAACAGGTAAGACATTTAACGATGTTGTTAGTACTTTGGCAGGTTCAGGGGTTTACAAAATATATAATCATTCCCCAATTATATAGTTTCTTAATTTTTGAATAGATGTGGGAAGCTTTAAAAACATGATAATAATATCAACAACCAGCATTCTACTGACCTTGAAATATTTGCACTATTGTTATCATAATAATCTTTAAACAAACTTAAAAAATAATTACCATGCTTGCAGAGTGTATATTAAAAAATGTGTATATATACCTCATGTTCCAAATCGGAAAGTGGAGTTGGCCTCCTCCTGTTTTGCTCAACTCCCTCTCAGTTGTTTAGACCCGTGAAGATCCGGGTTAGAATAGGTCTTCAGCAACCCATGCTTGCCGTAAAAGGCATCTAACGGGATCGGGTGGTCAGGCTCGCTGACTTGGTTGATACATGTATCGTACCCAATTGCGTGGATCGATGCTCATGATGTCAATCACTGGATTGTCTGGTCCAGACTCGATAATTTTACAGACCGCCGTCATATATAGCTGGAATATTGCGGCGTTAAACAACAAACAAACCTTGCATTTTTCTTTCTTAACTGAC